GAACCACCACTGATCTAGGACCCCTGTTATGAGGAGATGCCCCAGTGCTGCAGTATAAACAAACACACCTCTCCTCTCACCCACCACTGATCTAGACCCTGTAGGTGAGGTGAGGCCCCAGGTTGAGGTATAAACAAACATCATGTCTCCCTCACCACCACTGATCTAGACCCCTGTTGGTGAGGTGAGCCCCAGTGCTGTGTAGAATAACAAACACTGTAAGCCTCTCTCACCACCACTTGACTACACCCTGTTGCAGGTGAGGCCTCAGTGTTGTGAGTAGCATAACAAACACAGGTCTTCCCTCACCACCACTGATCTAGACTCTGTTGGTGAGGTGAGGCCCCCCAGTGTGGCAGAGTAAAACAAACACTGTAGCCTCCTCACCACCACTGATCTAGACCCCTGTTGGTAGGTGAGCCCCATGTTGAAAACAAACACTGCCCCCTCACCACCACAGATCTAAACCCTGTTGGTGAGGTGAGCCCTGTGCTGTAGTATATAACAAACACAGCCTCTTCCTCACCACCACTGATCTAGACCTGCTGGTGAGGTTGAGCCCGCGTTGCAGCAACAAACACTTAGCCCCCTCACACCACTGATCTAGACCCAGTATGAGGAGCCCTAAGCGTAGTATATAACAAACACTGTGTCTCCTCACCACCACTGATCTAGAACTCTGTTGAGGTGAGGCCCTGTGTTGCAGTATATAACAAACATCAGGTGCCTCACTACCACTGATCTAGACCCCTGTCAAGATGGAGGCCCCATGCTGTAGTATATAACAAACATCAAGCCTCCCTCACCACCACTGACCAGAACCCTGTTGGTGAGGTGATGCCCCAGTGTCGCATATGCACAAACACTCAGCTCCCCTCACCACCACTCGATCTAGACCCCTGTTGGTGAGGTGATACCCCAGTGTTGTGTAGTAGGTAACAAACATCAAGTCTTCCTCACCACCACACTGATCTAGGACCCTGCTGGTGAGGTGATACCCCAGTGCAGGTAGCATATAACAAAACACGTACCTCCACCACCACTGACCCAGCTGGGATGATGCCCCAGTGGTGGCAGAAAACAAACACGGCCCTTCACCACCACTGGAATCCACCCTGTTGGTGAGGTCAGATCCCCAGGTTGTGTGCAGCAAAACAAACACTGTGTCCTCACCCACCACTGATCTAGACTCATGTTGGTGAGGTGAGGCCACTGTTGTGTAGCATATAACAAACACTGCAATCCTTCACCACCACTGATCTAGACCGTTGGTGAGGTGAGGCCCCAGTGCTGGTGTAGATATAACAAAAACAGGTCTCCTCACCACCACTGATCTAGACCCCTGTTGATGAGGAGAGGCCCCAGTGCTGTGTAGTATATAACAAACATCAGCCTCCTCTCACCACCACACATCTAGACCCTTTGAGAGGTGAGGCCCAGGTTATACAACATACCTTCACCACCACACTGATCTAGACCCCACAGAGGTGAGCCCCAGGCTGTGAATACAACATCACTTCCTTTCACCACCACCGATCTAACCCCCAGCACATGAGGCAGGAGCCCCAGTGCTGTGCAGAAAACAAACACATAGTCTCCTTCACCACCACCGATCTAGAATTCACAGTGAGGGTGAGCCCCAGTGCAGGCAGCAAAACAAACATCAGGTCCTCTCCTCACTCTCACCGATTCACCCCAGACCCCTGCTGGTGAGTGCATACCCCTCGCTGTCAGTATATAACAAACACTGCCCTCCTCACCACCACTGATCTAGCCACTGTTGGTGAGGGTGAGCCCAGGTTGTGCAGATATAACAAACACAGGTCTTCCTCACACCACTGATCTAGACCCCTGTTGGTGAGGGAGGCCCCAGTGCTGTGCAGCACATAACAAACACTGACCTCCTTCACCACCACTGATCCAGAACCCTGTTGGTGAGGTGACCTACTGTTGGTAGTAGCAACAAACACTTAAGCCCTCCTCCACCACCACTGACCCAGGCCCCTGCTGGTGACAGAGGCCCCAGTGCTGTCAGTACACAACCCCACCCACCAAACACACCCCAAACACATCAGGCCTTCACCACCACTGATCTAGACCCTGCTGGTGAGGTGAGGCCCTGCATATAAAACCAAACACAGTGTCTCCTTCACCACCACTGACCAGACCCCTGCTGGTGAGGTGAACCCCAGGCGTAGACATAACAAACACCAGGACCTCTCCTCACCACCACTGATCTAGACCCACAGAGTGTGAGCCCAGTGCTGTAGCATATAAAAAACACTGTGTCTCCTTCACTACCACTGATCTAGCCCCTGCTTGTGAGGTGACACCAGCACAGTGTATATAACAAACACTTTGTCTTCCTCACCACCACTGATTCAGAACCCTGTTGGTGAGGTGAGCCCCAGTAGGTAGATAGTAACAAACATCAGGTCTCCTTCACCACCACTGATCTAGACCCTGGGCTATGAGGTGAGGCCCAGTGTTGTGTAGTATATAACAAACATCTGTGTCTTCACCACCACTGATCTAGACCCCTGTTGTGAGGTGAGGCCCTGATGTGTAGTATATAAATAAACACTGTGTTCACCTCATCACCCACTGATCTAGACACCCCTGTTGGTGAGGTGAGGCCCCATGTTGTAGTATAAACAAACACGCCCTTCCTTCACCACCACTGATCTAGACCCCGTTAGAGGCAGGAGGCCCCAGTGTTGGGGTAGATATAACAAACATCAGGCCTCTTCACCACCACTGATCTAGACCCTGTTGGTGAGGTGAGGCCCCAGTGTTGTGTAAAACAAACATAGGCCCTCTTCTTCACCACCACTGATCTAACCCCTGTTGGGGAGGTGAGGCCCCAGTGTTGTGAGCATATAACAACATCTGTCTCTCACACCACTGATCTAGACTCCCTGTGGTGAGGTGAGGCCCCAGTGTTGTAGTATATAACAAACATCAGTACCCTTCACCACCACTGATCTAGACCCCTGTTGGGAGGTGAGGCCCCAGGTAGCAATAAACAACACTGTGTCTCCTTCACCACCACTGATCTAGGCCTCGTTGGTGAGGTGAGGCCCCAGTTGCGTAGTATATAACAAACACTGTCTTCCTCACCACCACTGATCTAGACCCTGTTGGTGAGGTGAGGCCCCAGTGCTGTGTAGTATATAACAAACACTGTGTCTTCCTTCACCACAACTGGATCTAGGCCCTCACAGGAGGTGAGGCCCCAGTCAGTAGTATAACAAACACAGGTCTTCCCCTTCACCACCACTGATCTAGACCCCTGTTGGTGAGGAGAGCCCCAGTGCCAGGTGTAGTATATAACAAACACTGTTCTTCCTTCACCACACCACTGATCTAGACCCTGTTGTGAGGTGAGGCCCCAGTGTTGGTAGTAACAAACACGCCTTCACCACAACTGATCTAGGCCCCAGCTGTTAGAGGTGAGGCCCCAGTGTAGAATATAACAAACACTGGTCTTCCTCTCAACCACCACTGATCTGGGCCCTGTTGGTGAGGGAGCCCCAGTGTTGTGTGGTATATAAACTGCAAATCCTTCACCACCACTGATCTAGACCCCTGTTGGTGAGAGGGAGGCCCCAGTGTAGTACATAACAAACACTGTGCCTTCACCACCACTGATCTAGGCCCCTGCCAGGTGAGGCCCAGTGTTGTGAGTATAAAACAAACACTGTAGCGCCTCACCACCACTGATCCAGGGCCTCTGTTGGTGAGGGTGAGGCCCCAGTGTTGTGGTATGCAACAAACACTGTGTCTCCTCACCACCACCTCGATCTAGGCCCCTGTTGGTGAGGTGAGGCCCCAGTGCTTGTACAGAGACAACAACACTGTGTTCTCACCACCACTGATCTAGGCCCCTGTTGGTGAGGTGAGCCCCAGTGTTGTGTGAGAGCAACAACACTGTCGTCTCCTTCACCACCACTGATCTAGGACCCTGTTGGTGAGGAGGCCCCAGTAGAGCACAAACACTGTCTTCCTTCACCACCACTGATCTAGACCCCTACAGAGAGACCCAGTGTCATGTAGAGTAACAAACCTGTGTCTTCCTTCACCACCACTGATCCTGGGCCCTGTTGGTGAGGGTGAGGCCCCAGTGTTGTGTAGTATATAACAAACATGTCTTCCTCACCACCACTGATCTAGACCCCTGTTGGTGAGGTGAGGCCCCGTGTTGTGTAGTATATCTCTTCTGTGTCTTCCTTCACCACCACTGATCTAGACCCCTGTTGGTGAGGTGAGGCCCCAGTGTTGTGTAGTATATAACAAACACTGTGCTTCTTCCTTCACCACCACTGATCTAGACCCCTGTTGGTGAGAGTGAGGCCCCAGTGTTGTGTAGTATATAACAAACACTGTGTCTTCCTTCACCACCACTGATCTAGGCCCCTGTTGGTGAGGTGAGGCCCCAGTGTTGTGTAGTATATAACAAACACTGTGTCTTCTTCACCACCACTGATCTAGACCCCTGTTGGTGAGGTGAGGCCCCAGTGTTGTGTAGTATATAACAAACACTGTGTCTTCCTTCACCACCACTGATCTAGACCCCTGTTGGTGAGGTGAGGCCCCAGTGTTGTGTAGTATATAACAAACACTGTGTCTTCCTTCACTAACACTGATCTAGGCCCCTGTTGGTGACGTGAGGCCCCAGTGTTGTCCGCTACACGACGGCTTCCTCCAAAAATCTTGACTAACCCGACAATATTAAACTTAAACAAGAAAATTAACCAAAAGAACTTAATAAACTCTTCCGAACACACCAACTAAGATGTTACCTCCTCCTGTGTGGACACGATACTTGACACATCTGAGAGGGAGAGACAAGCCCCGTGTTGAAGGGAGTGTGGGGGGGTGGGGGAGTGGGAGGCCTGCCCTGGGGTGCTCGGCAGCGGCGAGGTCGGGCGTCCCCCGTCTGCTTGTGCCCCGTCCGACGCCCCGCCGGAGTCTAGCCCCAGCGAGGAGGAGGCACCGCCTAGCCCGTCGCGGCTCACTGGGCTCCCACAAGAGTCCTAGGAAGGGGGAATAAAAGTGGTAATGGGTCCAACGCCTCGGCACATCCCCCCACACGCACGACAGGACGGGAGATTTAAGTCCCGTCCGATCGAGCGTACGTCCACCGTGGCAAGATGGAGCGTTCATTACCCCCGGCCTGCCCCACACTGTGTGTTAATCTCACGCTACACAACATGCACAGGCCTAAACTAAGCGATTAAATACAATGCATAACCTAAGATTAATCACAGCGCCATGGAAGCGAGTCGGGTTAAATTCACCAACGTAATGTATTCAGTGTGAGTGAGGGGGGGTGGGGGTTAGTGGGGAGCGGCTATAGGCACTTACTTGACTCTGCATTGAGGCCGGGGAGGGGGAGAGGGGAGCCTGGGCCGCCCCGTTGTGCGACGTGGGCCGGATGACCCCCTCGGAGGACTGTTGTGTGGAGGATGATAAGATGGACTCGGAGGATGAGGAAGCTCGCCTCCGTAGGACTTCCGCTGCGCCTCGATCACTCAGACGGTCTTTGTCTTCATCTCTGTAATATAACTTACTTATTACAGCTAAAATATGATGAGGAAAGCTAAATATAAACCTAAGCTATCATTAACACACACACCTACAGTTAAATTATCGAGATGAGAGCTAAATATAAAAGTAATTAAGCTATCATTAACACAAACACCTACAGCTAAAGTATGATGAAGGAAGCTATAAACCGAAGCTATCATTAACACACACACACCTACAGTTAAATTATCGAGAAAAGCTAAACAAACTATTTACAGCTATCATTAACACACACACCTGCAGCTAAAATATGAGGGAAGCTAAATATAAAAGTAATAAAGCTATAAAACAAAGAACTTTCGGAGACACGACTGTTTATCAGAGGCGGTGTGGATATAGTACACCGTATACTAAGCCATTGGTACCCGTTTACAACTGGGTGAACTAGAGGCGCCCGGGGATCGAACCAACGACACCCAGGGACACGAAACGAGCGCCGTAACCGCTCGTTGGACTTACCTATTCACCTGAACTGCCTCGTTGGACTTACCTAATCTTTAGCAGTATATACTTGTCTGGAATGAGGCCCTGTTTGCCTTGGAACGACCCTCTCCACCAATCACTAGAGACCTGGGAGTGTAGAACGAGCACATCGCCTTTGTTGAAGCTTAGTTCGCGTTCAGACCGAGCGTTGAAGTCAAACTGTGCGATGGCTTCAAGAATCTCGCTCTCTGTTGGGGAAAGTTTAGGATAAGCTTTAGTCATTCGGGGAAAATTTTGGGAAAGCTTTAGTCATTTGGGGAAAGTTTAGGATAAGCTTTAGTCATCTGGGGAAAATTTTGGGTAAGCTTTAGTCATCTGGGGAAAGTTTAGGATAAGCTTTAGTCATCTGGGGAAAGTTTAGGCTAAGCTTTACTGCAACCTAACCTAACCCCCAGGAAGCATTAAGGTATTTTAACCATCAGGTGACTTAAGCTGATGGGGGGGAGGGGGGCTAATGTACAGTTGATCCAAATAGAAACAAACAAACAAACAAACACAAACAAGCAAAACTAAACAAACAGTAAAACCTCAATATCGAACTATATGATGAAAGTCCATTATATCCATATAAGAACTATATAGAGATGAAAGTCCATTATATCGAGGGAACTATATAGAGATGAAAGTCCATTATATCGAGGGTCCATTAGATGTAAAAACCTCAATATAACGAACTATATTGAGAAAAATCCATTATATCAAGGTTCCATTAGATGTAAAAACCTCAATATAACGAACTATATTGAGAAAAATCCATTATATCAAGGTTCCATTAGATGCAAAACCTCCATATAACGAACTATATAGAGATGAAAGTCTGTACTAAAACCTCCATATCACGAACTATATTGAGAAAAATCCATTATATCGAGGTTTCGCTGCACACAAAACAGATGAACTTACTTCCAAAGATCTGTAGCGTTATGTCTCTGTCTCTAAACACAGAATCTGCAACAAAAGCGACAAAGACACGATCAAGACAACATGCACGTGAACAAAACAAGTATACTAACTGGTGCGGAGAGTCGTTAGGGCGGGTCTAGTTGTGTGTGTCGTCTTGGGTAATGGCCGATTAGTTGAGGTTATTTGGGTTTTTAATTGCTTGACATTAGGGTTAGGTTAGGTTGGGTTGGATTACGTTAGGGTTAGGTTACGTTAGGGTAGGTTAGGTTGGGGTAGGTTAGGTTAGTGTAGGTTAGGTTAGGGTTAGGTTAGGTTACGTTAGGGTAGGGTTAGGGTTAGGTTAGGTTACGTTAGGGTTAGGTTAGGTTACGTTAGGGTTAGGTTAGGTTACGTTAGGGTTAGGTTAGGTTACGTTAGGGTAGGTTTAGGGTTAGGTTAGGATGGGATAGTACAAGTAATATTTCTCAAAAATCAATCAATTCTCAGCCGCCGTAAGACAAGGTAACGAGACCTGCCCCAACGATCACCTTAACACAACTACATTAACGTTCTACTGTACTGAAATGTTTCTCTGTCAATACTCCCTAAAGATGTTTGATCAGGCATCGGAGACTATGATCGATCATTGATTGAATAAGTTACATGCTACAACAACATGTACAGGGTGTGTCGTAAGTCATATATACAGTACAGGGTGTGTCATAGGTCATATATACTGTACAGGGTGTGTCATAGGTCATATATACAGTACAGGGTGTGTCATAGGTCATATATACTGTACAGGGTGTGTCATAGGTCATATATACTGTACAGGGTGTGTCATAGGTCATATATATACTGTACAGGGTGTGTCATAGGTCATATATATACTGTACAGGATGTGTCATAGGTCATATATACTGTACAGGGTGTGTCATAGGTCATATATACTGTACAGGGTGTGTCATAGGTCATATATACTGTACAGGGTGTGTCATAGGTCATATATACTGTACAGGGTGTGTCATAGGTCATATATACTGTACAGGGTGTGTCATAGGTCATATATATTGTACAGGGTGTGTCATAGGTCATATATATACTGTACAGGGTGTGTCATAGGTCATATATACTGTACAGGGTGTGTCATAGATCATATATACTGTACAGGGTGTGTCATAGGTCATATATATACCGTACAGGTGGTGTCATAAGTAGTGTGCCATACTGTACAGGGTGTCTCAAAAGTCCACTAACCTCAGACCAACAAACAAATACATTAAGCTGTAACAAAGCAAATTATTGGCAAAAACAATTAAACAAACGCAAAAACAAACACAAATAAATTAATCACAAGCAAAGCAAACATATTAACACACTACATCAAATAGGGTTTTCGGATAGTGAAAGAGGCGAACGGATAAACGGTATCTCGGATAATGCAGGATATCAGTGTAATAAAAGCAATGGGATATTATTTTATACGACAATTCATGAAAACAAGAAAAATGGCTCCTGTTAAATCAGACGTCAACGTTGATGAACTCACTTAACTACCTCGTTAAAACATCAATATAGATAAACTTACTCACTTGACTACCTCATTAAAACGTCAATATAGATGAAACTAACTCGCTCAACGATCCAGGAAAACATCACATAAACCGACCGTCGACAATTCGCGACTTACCGTCCTCCGATTGGCCGGGTTCCGAGTCGACGTCATCGTGAGCCTCTGAAGGGGCGTCTCCCACCTCGGCCTCAAGGTCTATGGAGTCACGGGAGATGTATTTCTCGTAGGTGTGGCCGCCGTCGCTAGGGAAGATGTCCTCGCTAAAGATGATGATGTTCTTGATCAGCTCGTTCACTAAATTCTGGTACTGGACCTGTAAGAAGTGGGTTATTATTATGTTAGTTATCCCAACGTAACCTAACGTAACATAACCTAACACAACAATAACCTAACGTAACCTAACTAAATTTTGGTACTGGACCTGTAAGAAGTGGGTTATTATTATGTTAGTTATCCCAATGTAACCTAACGTAATATAACATTAAACTAACGTAACGTAAACTAACCTAACATAACATAAACTAACCTAACCTAACCAACAACAACAAACTTTCAACTAAATTACCGATATTGATAATAATAAATGACTCTCAACAAATCCGTCAGAACGAGAAAAAAATAATAAAAAAATAAAAAAATAAACTTTAATAATTCCGAGAAACGTAAAACGGCTTCAGGTAAATATCATGAGCTATTTACAACGCTTCTCTTGTTCTTGTCTAGGGTGTTTCATTCTCCACCTTGTCCTAGTAATAAGAGTAATTACCTGGTCCTTGTTCTAGTAATAAGAGTAATTACCTGGTCCTTATCCTCAGGTATGGGAACTAGTGTTGGCCCAAAACAGATGGCCAGGTTGTACGGATCCATCATGTTTTCGTCGCTGAATTCAGACAAACTGCGGGAAAATAAAAGAATTCAGACAAACTGCGGGAAAATAAAAGAATTCAGACAAACTGCGGGAAAATAAAACCTTGTTATGGAGAGAGAGTTTGGGTGTGTGAGTAAAGAAGGATGTACTATGGGCACAACACCAGCCCACGGTGCAGCCCATTAAAGTACCTGTAAAAGAGAGAGAGAGTGAAGCAACATTGTGGTGAAGAGTAGAGAATATTGTTTAAGTGTTTTGTAAGTGAGGAATAATACTTATAACATTAATTTAATTGTTTTTTAATATTTGTAAGTGATAAACAATGGACTGAGTTACTTATGACATTAATTTAAATATTTATAAGTATTTGTAAGTGAAAAATGATGGACTGTCTTACTTATAACATTCAATTAAGTGTTCTTTAAGTATATATAAGTAATGAAGTAAACACTGTGGCTTACTTAAAATACTAAATTAAGTAAGGGGAGAATTTTTTAAGTAAATCTGCAATGAAACAATAACACTTATATCACAATATTAAGTGTATTTAAGTAGATATAAGAAACAGACGATAAATTAAAACTAACTTATATCACAATATTAAGTGTATTTAAGTAGATTTAAGTAACAAACTATAAAATAAAACTAACTTACATTTTACCAATGAATAAATTGTACACAAGACACCTTAAACTACTGAATAACTACCTGTAATAAAATAAACTTAATCATATCTTTTAACTCAAATTTATTCCCAATCTTTATAAATAAATTCACAAAATCAGTTATTTTTTTAGTTATTTTTATTCACCCTAAAGAAAACTCGTTCTAAAAATTGTCTTCGAGTTTTTATGTTTCACGATGACGCAATTGGTGAAGTGTTTTGGCAACCCTGGTGAGAAATCGGGAGTCTCGGTGTTTATTTTGAAATTCATCGGACATCCTCGGTTAAAGATGAATTTCGGAGCGAGTTTACCCTAATGTACCTTCGTTTATTAAGTTCCGCTGCATAACTAGTGTACCATAACGTACCTTTGTTAATTAAGTTACAATGCATAACTAGTGTACCTTAACGTACCTTTGTTAATTAAGTTACAATGCATAACTAGTGTACCATAACGTACCTTTGTTAATTAAGTTACAATGCATAACAAGAATGTACCCTAATGTAGCTTTGTTTAATAAGTTACAATGCATCCCTAGAGTACCCTAATGTACCTTCGTTTATTAAGTTCCGCTGCAACCCTAGACTTGGTTTATTTACTTACTGGTTAAGGAACGCAAAGAGGTAACGCATGACGACGAACACAGGTCGAGGAAGACTAGTCACCACGTCCCTCATCTTTACCACGAAGTCGTGTTTCTTCTCTAGGGCTGTGAGGTGGGGGGGGGGGGAGAGAGTCTGGAGTCAATACAGTGCTATGAAATCTTATCAACTCATGAATAATCTATACGAACCGATTTACGTCGAGTCTCATTCGTAAATCAATTCGTAAATCAAGGAACTCCCACATATAATCCAACAGATCAAAACAACTCATAAAAACTAATTTACGTGAGTTTCATTCCTATAAATCACGTAAATCAATCCGTATATCAAGGAACACATGATAACAATTCACGAACAAACTCAACGAACTAATTTACGTGAGTTTAATTCCTAAAAAAACAGCAAAAATCACGTAAATCAATTCGTATATCAAGGAACACATGATAACAATTCACGAACAAACTCAACGAACTAATTTACGCGAGTTTAATTCCTTAAAAAACAGCAAAAATCACGTAAATCAATTCGTATATCAAGGAACACATGATAACAATTCACGAACAAACTCAACGAACTAATTTACGGAGTTTAATTCCTAAAAAAACAGCAAAAATCACGTAAATCAATTGTATATCAAGGAACACATGATAACAATTCAAAACAAACAACGAACTAATTTACGTGAGTTTAATTCCTAAAAAACAGCAAAAATCACGTAAATCAATTCGTATATCAAGGAACACATGATAACAATTCACAAACAAACTCAACGAACTAATTTACGTGAGTTTAATTCCTTAAAAAACCAAAATCACGTAAATCAATCCGTATATCAAGGAACACATGATAACAATTCACGAACAAACTCAACGAACTAATTTACGTGAGTTTAATTCCTAAAAAAACAGCAAAAATCACGTAAATCAATTCGTATATCAAGGAACACATGATAACAATTCACGAACAAACTCAACGAACTAATTTACGCGAGTTTAATTCCTTAAAAAACAGCAAAAATCACGTAAATCAATCCGTATATCAAGGAACACATGATAACAATTCACAAACAAACTCAACGAACTAATTTACGCGAGTTTAATTCCTAAAAAAACAGCAAAAATCACGTAAATCAATTCGTAAGTCAAAAAATACACCTCACGCTACACAACGACTCACGGGCAATCTCCATAAACTGGTCGAAGAATACGGTGGGAAAGAGAGGTTCCCTAAGCTCCCTAAGGTAGAGTTTCAACACTCCGGCCACACTGTTGATGTCCGAGGCGTCAGTAACGTCAGCCAGGGGATCCTCCATCCTCTCGAACGACTCCCTGAAGTTGTTGATCTCCACCTGCGAACCCGACACCCTGAAGATCCCTTGGTGGTGCAATCCTGAGGAGGTACGATAAGTTATCAGATTTGTTTAGTGCGACGGGATTCTCCTCGTCGTCTTTCGTGTTAGTTCATGGTGGTAGGAATATGTATACTACTTAGATTTATACATTTTTATACATATACATACCTATAGACACTCACATACATGGATATATATACATACAATACATACATACCTACATACACACATATATATTTACCCCCACACACACACACACACACCCCTCCCCCCCACAGCATCACTACTTACCATACAGATTGATGACCCTAATGCAAGACTTCATAATTAAAGGTATATCTTGACCAGTGGCTTCAAGGTATTCCTCGAGCGACCCACCGAACAGCTTAGGTTGACCCATCAGAGGATTTCGCCCGATCCGTCGACGGCGAGGTTTGTTTACCAAGTTTCTGCGGTGGTGGATAACGTGAGTCGACAAATAAATGGATAGAGAGAGAGAGAGAGAGAGAGAGAGATAGGAAGAAGAGAGAGATTTATCCACATCTAATATTGATGGCAGACAAATAAATGGATAGAGAGAGAGAGAGAGAGAGAGAGATTTATCCACATCTAATATACCAAGTATCCGATCAATCCGACATAGTAAACTCCTATCCACATAAACCGGCGGATTACACACATCTTTCATCAACAACATCCGTAACACGAACCTTTGGGGCGTAGGGGAGGACGTGGTCTGTGTCTCATCGCCAAGGGCTTTACGCATCAGTTCGTAACGTGCTTGAAGGCGTGTGATGAGGTTGCTGCCGAGGGTGTACTCACGGAATTTCTGAAATGTGTTTTAGTTTAGGGTCAAGATTTTATTCGTGTTAATGTTGAACCGAGTCGATACTGTAATGCAAAAGTCTTCTTAAATTTCTAAATGATGAACTGACTCGATACACTAAGGGGAAAGTCTTCAAAAACTTTCTAAATGATGAACAAAATATTCAAAAACTTTCTAAATCATTAACAAAATCTATATAAACTTTCTAAATTGTCAACAAATCTTTAAAAACTTTCTAAATCATCAACAAATCTTTAAAAACTTTCTAAAACATCAACAAATTCTTTAAAAACTTTCTAAATGCTTTACAAAATCATCAAAAACTTCCTAATCGTCAACAAATTCTTCAAAAACTTTCTAAATGCTGAATAAAATCTTCAAAAACTTTCTAAATCCTGAAGAAAATCCTAAACTTTCTCAACCCTGAACAAGACTCCAAACTCACACTCAGGTAGAAATCCTCGGTTTCCTGTCGGTCGGCTTTCATCTTGATAAGCATCGACTCGGGCTGCTTATTATCCATCCGCGGCTCGTCGATGAAATAATGCGCACAGTCGTAGTCCCTCTGATTGATCATCTCCATTAGGGTCTTCTCTGCGGTCTCTATGGTCTTCCAAGTCTCCTCCGACTCGGTCTTGAGGCTGGTGAGCCGAGAGACCAGATGGGCGTAACGTTTTTCCATCTCCTCTTGGACTTGACGATTGACGACCACCTGGTTCACCTGTACTGTGTTGGAGTCCTCGTGAGTCTGGCACTGGGGTAAGACAGTGCCTGCCACATACTAGTCCATAGAACGAGTAGGTAAATATTATGAGTCACGGCAGGAAAAAAAAAAAAAGTCCCGTCGTCTCTCGATGCTTAAAACAACCCCCGGATTCGGATTCATTAACCCCGGGATTCGGATTAATGAGCCCGAGATTCAGATTCGTGAACCCAGAGCAGTAAACCGATGCAATGTTCTGGCCATAAAGGATTCGGGTTCACGAGTCTGAATCTTTGGGGTTCGTGGTTGAGCAGGAGAGGAGAGAGGGGAACTTTTTGGGGGTAACTATCGCAAAACAAAATTCAGAGAGAAATACTTGAAATACAAATAAAAATATGAGATACTTTGGTCATATAATTAGGAATGAGGGAATAACAACAAACAATAATGGGTAAAAGTGAGGTTAGAACGGCCAGGGTAGAAGGGCCATGGCAGGGACGGCCATAATAGAAGGGCCATAGGAAAACAGAAACTAGGATGGATGAATGAAATTAAAAATGGACTCCCAAGAGACAAACAAATTCTTAGATTGATAAAAACAGCCCGAGAACTTTTTAGATTGGAGGACTGTGGTCGCCAACCCTCAGACATGGGGACGGTACTCTGATTAACTGATTGGTCGAGTGGTTGTACTAAGCTGTCAGGCAATCAGAGGTGACATAAGCAAGTTTGGAAAGTAGCCATTGAAAAGTGATGATAATAATAATAATAATCAAATAAAGAATTACTGAAATAAACTTGAAACACTGAGGAAATGGTAAGTGGCATGAGAGGCAGTAGCTCCAGACAGTACACAGAGGAAGTACATAGACAGTAGTTATAGACAGAATAAATATAGTATGGAAGGATGAAAGTGTAGACAGACATTAGCTATAGACAGTACACAGAGGCAGTAGTTATAGACAGTTGCTACAGAGACAGTACACAGAGGCAGTAGTTAAAGACAGTAGCTACAGAGACAGTACACAGAGGCAGTAGTTATAGACAGTAGCTACAGAGACAGTACACAGAGGCAGTAGTTATAGAAACAGTAATTATAGACATATTAAACCAAGTATAGATGAATGAAACTCAATAAATTCCATGATTTAATCCCAAAACAAAGCATTAGAATCCCAAGATCGCATTACAAGAGGTTCGAATCCACATGTTGCAGCATAAGTACAAGGGGTTCGAATCCACATGTTGCAGCATAAGAACAAGGGGTTCGAATCCACATGTTGCAGCATAAGTACAAGGAATCCCATGTTCATAAGAACAAGGGTTCGAATCCATGTTGCAGCATAAGAACAAGGGTTCGAATCCACATGTTGCAGCATAAGAACAAGGGGTTCGAATCCACATGTTGCAGCATAAGAACAAGGGGTTCGAATCCACATGTTGCAGCATAAGTACAAGGGGTTCGAATCCACATGTTGCAGCATAAGAACAAGGGGTTCGAATCCACATGTTGCAACGTATATATAAAATCGCAATTATAAAAGAATTAAACACAAATTAATAATTGATTTTTACACTTAATAAATTACTTTGAGAAATTTATTATTATATAGTTGGTTAATTAAAAATAAATAAATTGGTTAAAGTTTGTGAGGTAAATTATTTATTTTTTTATTCAAATGTTTTAAATTATTTGTTTACGGGGATTTATTATTCATTTGTTATGTCGTCAAAGGTGAATTTATGATTGAGAATATTTGTTATTTTGACCTTTATGGATGACCTGATGATTAGACACCCCGAGATAGTTTTAGAGGAGGGGGGAGGGAGGGAGGAGGAGGGAGGAAGGGAGGAGGAGGAGGGGGAAATCTTCAGGTAAGCACTTGAGGCAGACTAATCTAGAGTGCATACTTAGCATAACTAATTCTCAAACAACCACTAAGGAAGGGTTGGACGGGGGTTTAAACCTCGAGGTAACACATAAAAAAAAAAACACCGTCAACCCCCATCAAAAAAACAAAGATAATCCTCGAACCTAAAAAACACCACACCGTCAAACCCCCATCAAAAAAAAACATAATCCTTGAACCTAAAAACACCACACCGTCAACCCCCATCGAAAAACAAATATAATCCTCGAGCCTAAAAAAAACACCAAATCGCCCCAAACCAGATCCCACTCTCACCATCTCCTTTGTGCCCCGGAACTCAAATTTCTTCGAGCATAAAAGCCGCTGTGTTGAACTCCGAGGAATCTCTGTTTATCCAACTCGAGTCCAGGTTGTTGATGGATTTGTTGATTTCGTCGATTCCATTCTGCGGCTCCTTCTAAGGCATTCCTCGCCGGAGACGGGGTTAGGAGGGCTTTGGCAATGCTGCTATGGAATCCAAAATCCATACACTGTTGTTAGCTGTTTGTGGAGAATTGTTGTTGTTATGCTTGTTATGGTGTAGAATCAATCGCAGCATTTGTCACAACATATCATAGTTATAATGCTGTAGATTAATAGCATTTGTTACAACACAGTCAATTACAACAGTTGTTAAATCACGACTAATAACAAGTCCTGTTAAATTACGCATCAATCACAACTGTTGTTAAATCACGTATCCAATAACAAGTCCTGTTAAATTACGACTAATCACAACAGTTGTTAAATCACGCACCTACAATAAGTCCTGTTAAATTAATGCACTCAATCACAACAGTTGTTAAATCACGCACTCAATAACAAGTCATTTACAACACACACTCACAGCACTTGTTACTCAAAGAACAGATTAGAATTGTACTCTAGAGGATGTCATTGTACTCAAGGGTAAATTAATGTACTCAGGAGGTTTGACTTAGTCTCTGTCACATATTAATATTATATAAATATGGGCTAAGGACATAAGTTCATTATATACATTCTATTGAGCATAGCTACATAAGGATTTGTTCTCACACAAACAACAACAATTTTCACACAAAAACAACAAAATTTTCACACAAAACAACAACAATTCTTCATATAAACAACAATTCTTATAAACAACAACAATTATCACACAAACAACAATAATTTTTCACAAACAACAAACAATTCTCCCACAAACAACAACAATTTCACAAGCCACAACAATTCTCATATAAACAACAATTCTCACAAACAACAACAATTCTCCCACAAACAACAACAATTCTATATAAACAACAACAATTCTCACACAAACAACAACAATTCTCAAACAACAACATCCTCACACAAACAACAACAATTCTCACACAAACAACAACAATTTCACACAAACAACAACAACACACAAACAACAACACTTCTCACACAAACAACAACAATTTCACACAAACAACAACAATTCTCACACAAACAACAACAATTCTCACACAAACAACAACAATTCTCACACAAACACCCAGCAACCCCTCCCCCACATACTACCCACACACAACCACCACCCACACTACCCCACACAAACAAGGACCATCCACTAGTACTACATCCACAATATCCGACAGATCCTCAACGGCATTTCTGGATAGCAGCGTTACGAGTCCATTGACAGGATGTACTATTCCGGCCTTGAGTGCCTTGAGTTTGGCATCCATGTACTTGCTGCTCGCTGTCAAGTGTATGGATCAGAAATCAATAAATAAATTGATTGTATTGTGATTTATTAATACAACTACTGTATTGTAAATGTTGTATTAGTGGTTTATTAATACAACTACTGTATTATTCACATTACAAAATAAACCTACTGTATTCTGGCATTTTATAACACACCATTAACCCATAATTACCACACCTATTATAACCTAATTGACATATTGCCTTTAAAAATGACTCCTATTATATTTTAAATGCCATATTGTTATTAATGTGTTTTTTGTTTTGCTGCAATATGTCACTTTGTTGGTATTTACTTGGGTAGAATTTTAATTTATATTTTCTTTGTATACTTTCACTGTGTACGTATGTTGTTTGTATACTTTCACTGTGTAATTATGTTGTTTGTATACCTACACTGTGTATGATGTATACTTTCACTGTACGTATGTTGTTTGTATACCTACACTGTCTAGGTACACTGTATACCCTACACTGTCTAAGTACACTTTTATACCTTACTCTGTATACCAACAGCTTATTCCCACCCTCAGCTTAGTCTTACTTCCTACTTTTCTCCAGCCTAACCTTAACCTCGCATAAATCCAAACCCTAGCTTAAATTTTAACCCAGCTAGAATCCAAATCCCAGCTTAAACCCAAACCCCAGCTTGAATCCAAATCCAGCTTCAACCCCAAACCCCAGCTTTGAATCCAAATCCCAGCTAAATTTACCTTCTGAATTCCTTCTCAATGACTGAAACTTCTTGTCTTTTCAAGCTTCTCCTTAGGGATAGCTCGCTCAAGCTTACCTCTGGGCTTCAAAATTCCGCAGCTTAGTCTTGCATTCTGAACTCAGTTTGTAAGTATGATATGTTCTCATGGTTGTGTGAAGCCTGTAGTACCTTGAGCAGTTCTTCGTGGCTCTCGAACCAATTTCTACACTGGAATTGTTTTCGACGTTAGATTCAGAGTACTGTGGGTCTAGGCTATATCATGATCTATATTTAATGGGTTATTTGGGGAATGTTCGTTATATTGGGTTTCCATAGATGAAAACCCCATATAACTAAGTATTTGGAGGAATGTTCATATATCGAGGGTTCAAAGATGAAACCTCCATATAACGTAAGTATTTGAGATGAAAGTCCATTATATCAAGGGTCCAGTATAATGCCCATTATATCAAGAGTCCAGTATATCAAGGGCCCATTATATCAAGGGTCCAGTATATCATGGGCCCATTATATCAAGGTCCAGTATATCAAGGCCCATTATATCAAGGGTCCAGTATATCATGGGCCCATTATATCAAGGGCCCAGTATATCAAGGGCCCATTATATCAAGGGTCTGTTAGATTTGAAACAGCAAATTTATTACAAAATAACTAAAGAAAAATATTAATCCCAATATAACCTCAAAACACCAAAATTAATCCCAATATGACCAAAAAAACACCAAAATTAATCCCAATATAAAAAACACCAAAATTAAATCCAATATAAAAAACACCAAAATTAATCCCAATATGACAAAAAACAACAATTAATCCCAAAATGACAAAAAACCACCAAAATTAATCCCAAAATGACCCAAAAAAACACGAAAATTAATCCCAATATAAAAACACCAAAATTAATCCCAATATGACCAAAAAACACCAAAATTAATCCCAATATAACCATACGCCCTCTTACCCTTTGTAAATCCTTTGAGACATCATCTTGCACTTTTAAATCTAGGAATGACATTATTGAGATAGACGGCCAGCCATAGCATATTGGTCCCGGCATCTTTACGAGTCTGGTTCATTAACGAAGTTCCAGCAGCTGCAGACACTCGAACGTGCAGCTGCTCCGTCTGTAAGTAAAGAGATGTGTGAGGCGCAGCTGTTATCGGATGTGTGGAGGTAGCTGTTATCGGGATGTGAGGTGCAGCTGTTATCGATGTGTGAGGTGTAGCTGTTATCGGGATGTGTGAGGTGCAGCTGTTATCGGGATGTGTGAGGTGCAGCTGTTATCGGGATGTGTGAGGTGTAGCAGCATCGGATGTGAGGTAGCTGTTATCGGATGTGTGAGGTGAAGCTATCGGGATGTGTGAGGTGTAGCTATGATGGATAAGGTTATCGGGATGTGTGAGGCAGCTGGGATGTGTTCTTGTCGATTTGTAAATAATGAAAGGTGTAAGTGATAGTCAAAATAATGTGTTTTGTTATATACATGGTGGACTGTATACCTGTGTTTAGTATACATGGTGGACTGTATACCTACATCTGCTAACAACCAATTCTCTACACCCAACCAACCCTTTATAATGACCTTAACAATTGATAGGCAATTGACACCTCAAAATTACCAACAATACAAAAGAATTTACTAGCATTAAATACCTTTATACATCCACCCCAGCAAGTTACCCATAAGAATTAATCAGAGAATTTAACCCACAGAAATACAGTGATAACGTCAGCATTTTAGAAATACCAATATTCACATTTGACATTTTCGCAATTTTGATTATTCTGAGCATTCAAGTATTTAATCATTTTCCACATTTTGAGTATTCTGCATATTTTTCAGAAATATTCTTGAGCATTTTCATATATTTTGAGAATTTTACAGAAAGTATTTTTGAACATTAAATATTTTCGTAGTATTTTTAGTATTGCAGTATTTTAAGTATTACTGAGCATTTTTCTAGTATTTTGAGTATTCGCAGTACTTTAATTCCATATTAATCAGTATTTCATATTCGCATATTTTCAACATATTTACAGAGTATTTTGACATTTTCCAGCATTTGAGTATTCATGATTTTTCGTAATATTTAGTGATTTTCATTATTTACATTTTCAAGAGTATTTTGAGTATTTTAAGCAATACTTTCTAAGTATCTCCACATTTTGAGTATACCAGTATTTTGAGTATTACCAGCAATTTTCGTATTTTGAGTATTTTCAGTATTTTCAGTATTTCAGCATTTTATTATGCCACAACACCAACCCAATTCAGATTACAACACTATCATCAATATTACCTACAACACTACAAATCAAGACATTAACTTTAAAAACAAACCTAATGTCACCGTAACTATACATCTACAACACTGTAACAACCTTCACAACCCATTAAAACGCTTTACAAGACGAATATAATCTTCACTATATAACCCAGTCACAACTCTTAAATAATACTAATACAACTTCACAACCTTATCACAACTCTTATATAACGTTAATATAACCTTCCATACATCACAATCCTCGGATCACAACCTTACACAATCCAACTATGACCTTTCACAACCCTTTCACAACCCATCCAAACTTGATAATAACCTACCCACAACCTATTCACATACAACAACCACAAATCAATTCACAACACTAATATAAATCTTCCCATTAGTTACAACCTGTCAAAGCTTCTCTCACAAACTGCCTCCACAACCCTTTCCACAACAGATTCACACTTGAATTATTGCCCCCAAGAGTTCGCTGTTGTAGTAGATAAGAAACATTTTAACCTTAACTAAATATCGAAGTCATTCTTAGTTGAAGTTGAATGCTCACTTGTTTTTATATATATATGTGTCAGAGTGTATGGTAATTATTCCACAGAGTCCCTGATGTTTGTAAGCTTACAGTATAATCTTTTTGATGTTTGTAAGCTTACAGAGTCCCTTGATGTTTGTGGGTGCATTTTTGCGAGTAAATTAAGGTGTATTTTATGAGGAAATTGGGTATTTTACGGTGAAATAAGTATTTTACTTATGAAATTGGGTGTATTTTTACTAAGGAAATTGGGTGTATTTAATTTATGAAATTGGGTGTATTTTAATGGAGAAATTGGGTGTATTTTACTTATGAAATTGGGTATTTACGAGAAATCGAAGTATTTTACGAGGAAATTGGGTGTATTTACTATAACATAAGTATTTTACTTGTTAAATAAGGGTGTATTTACTTACAATATGGCGTATTTATTGTTAATATGGGGTGTATTTACTATAATAAGGGTGTATTTTACGAGCAATATGTATTTTACTTGTTAATATATATTTTATTTGTTAACAAGGGTATTTATTTGTTAAATAACGTATTTTACGAATCATAGTATTTTACTTGTTAAAGGTGTATTTCTTACGCATCATGTAAGTATTTCATTTAGCACGTGGTGTATTTTACAAGCACCAAACCACTTCACTAATTGGCGTTGTTCCTTTAAGTCTAGCTGGCAGACTCTTCAAGCGAATCTCTTTGTCCAGTTTTAGTCAAAGATAATTTTGATGGAGTCTGGCTCGACGCCCAAACCAGTCCCAGTTCATTCACTAAGGCTGTCTGTGTGTCAGACCCCAAGCATCTAGAAAGAGCCCGTAGTTGTCTGTTAAGCTGTGACCTAACTCTGTATTTGAAAGAATGGGTAAGTGTTGTCAAGCCACCCTTAAACCAGGGGAAAAACCTGCTGATGTACCTTAAACCATGGGGAAACCGCGATGTACCTTAAACCATGAGAAAAAAGACTGCCTTAAACCAGAGAAAAACAGAATAGGTCCTTAAACCATAATAAACTGAGATTAATATCCATAAACCACGATAAACCAGATTAATATCCACAAACCACGTAAAACCAGATTAATATCCTTAACCACGATAAACCCAATTCTACCATCACATAAAACCATAATAAAACATCAGTAAATAAAACCTGTTGGATAAATATGCAGTTTTAACTCTGAAAATAGTTTAAAATAATGTTTCATGGTTTTAGACATTTATGGCCGAAATATGGTTAAAAATTTGTCTTGGATTATGGCTGAAATAAGTTAAAAAATAAGGTTAGAATGATGTCTTAAAGCTTTTATAGACATCTATGCTGAAATAAGATTGAACTGTTTATCAAGGAAAAATCTATCCCACCCACTACTACAAACCACAACCACCACAACTACAGCAACCTAAGAACTATTACTACTAAACTACTACTACAACCACAACCACCACAACTACAAATAACTACAACCATTACTACTACTACTACTACTTACTACCACAACTACAACAAATCACAATTACCACTACTACAAATAAACAACTACCACCACTACTACCATAACTACCACTACTACCATCCACCAGAACTAACAATTACCACAACAACCACCAGAACCACAACAGCAATACGCACCGAAATCCAGTGA